AGAGGAGGGGGGAGTGGTGGTGTGGTGAAGCTCTCTGTTTAGAGTTGGGGGGGGGGAGAGGCAGAGCGGCTGGTGAGCGACACAGTGGCTGGACTGAGTGGTTGTCATGTGCTGCTTGTGTGTGTGTGTGTGTGTGTGTGTGTGTGTGTGTTGTTAAAATAAAGGTGACTTCAATCTGTATAGCTGTGAGGATCTCTTTCTTTTTTTTTAGGGGAATGACTAGTAGCACTCTGACCCTCTTGACCTAATTAGAAAGTATTTTCCTTTTTTTTTTTTTTAAATTATAGCCTCAGTGGGTGTCTTGATGGGAATCATCCCTTTTGTTGCCCTCCCATTCAAATTCCTCAATGTGTAAGAGATGGTTTGACAGTGTGCATGCATGCTTGGGGAAAGGCAGGATACCAAGGGGGTGATGGTGGGGAGGAGAAGATTGCCTCCTACCTGCTCCTAAAGAGGTGGGGATTTCCCAGACTCCTAGGGAGCAATCTAGATTTTTTTAACTCAAATTCCCTGTCTCCCCCAACAACCCAGGCTAGACTTTGGCCTGAGTCTGATGATGGAGGGAGTGTGGTGAGGTCTAGGAGAGAACGAGGTAACAGCAGAATAAGGATTTTTCCAAAGCTGACCTCTGAAGCCTAAGGGTCTTAACCTGGTTTAGGGAAAGGATGGGGAGCAGAGAAAAGTGGATGACTGCTGATTTACTTAGGTACCCTGTCCAGCTCTTGGCTTCTGAAGGGCACAAGAACTGCATAGGAGCAGAAGGAACATTCCATTCTGATGAGCCACACATCCCCTATGGCAGGAGACTCGCTTCTCTTAATCTCTACATGACTAGAACCGGGGTTCCATAAGAAGCCCAGTTTTTGTTGACACAAAATGATCCGGCAGAGAAGTTCCTTCTTGCCAGCCTGTCTGTGTTGGGGCGGAGCCCCAGGGAAGGGAACAGTGTCTGCAACTGGGCCTTGATTCTTTTACCTTGGGCCTTAGTTTTTAGGATTTTTTGAACCTTAAATGATCTTGAGACAGATAGGTAGCATAGTGCAATAGTGCTGGACTTGGAATCAGGAGGATTTGAATTTGAATCCTATCTCAGACACTAGTTGTATCACCCTTAAGAGGTCACTTAACCTCTGCCTGCTTTAGTTTCCTCACTGAAAAAACTGGGGTAACAATAGCACCCACCTTCCAAGGTTGTTGTAAAGATCCAGTGAGATCTTTAAATAAACTTTAAAGAGCTTTATAAACACTAGCTATTATTCCTAGTCATCTCCTTTAGAAGATGAAAAAACTGGGGCTGAGAAATAAGGTATGGACTGCCCAAGATTATTCAGGTAAACAAACATTAGCCCGTAAACATTTATTTAAGTGCCTACTGTGTGCTAAGCACTATGCTAAGTGCTTTCTAGTAAATAATAGTGCAGTAAGGTAATAAAGGTAAGGTAGTAAGTAACAGTGGACAGCAGTGGATAGAGCACCAGTTCTCCAGTGGGGAAGACCTGAGTTAAAATAGGAGCTCAGACACTTACTAGTTGTGTGACCCTGAGCCTTAGTTTCCTCATCTGTAAAATGAACTAGAGAAGGGAATGGCAAACCACTCTAGTATCTTTGCCAAAAAAACAAAAACAAAAACAAAAAAAACCAAATGGGGTCACAGAGACTCAGACATTACTTAAAAAAGACTGAACAACAGTAAACAATGTATCAGGATTCAAACCCAGGACTTTCCACTGCATTCTTTGGAGGCAAACATTTGGGTGGCTCGAATATATGGGTTGAAAATTGCTGTAATTGGAGCAGCTAGGTGGAGCAGTGGAGAGAGCACCGGTCCTGGAGTCAGGAGGACTTGAGTTCAAATCCGGTCTCAGACACATGATACTCACTAGCTGGGTGACCCTGGGCAAGTCACTTAATTCTGATTGCCTCAGAAAAACAGAAAAATAATTGCTGTGATTTTTTTTCCCCACCCACATATTCAAATTGCCCACACCACACCGTTCTCTGAGCCCCCCCCCCCCCTGTCTAATACTTGAGGCTTTCACTGTCAACCCAGGGAGCTTGCTATTATCACACTAATACTGCCACTGAAGTAATCAGTCAACAAACATTTATTAAGCATTATTAGCAACGTGTCAGGCACGTACTAAGCTGGGTGCTTTGTAAACCTTAAAGCGATGTAGAAACCAACTGTCATTATGTCTTTAACAAGGTTGGTACCTTGGTGATCATAATTTTCTGGCATTAAGAATGTGTACATTTATTTATGTTAAAAAGCTTTGTGCTACTGCAGCACAGGCATGTGCCTGACATGCTCGACCCTAATCTTGGCTCTGTCTCTTCCTGGGTGCCCTACCCCTCTGGGCCCCAGGGGCCTCTTCACCCCTCCTCTGCCCACCTGGAAGATAGCTCCTCTCCTCTTTCCTTCCCTGCCCTCAAGTCCCCTCCCCCCCAAAAAAAATCCCATTGTTTTCCTTCCAAACCAGCGAGGCCCCCAACCTTGGTGTGGCTGAGCACACATCTCCCCACCCTCCAGCCTGCTGGGCTTCCCCTTCCTCCCTCCAGGATGGCTATTTATCTCCCAGAAAAGCCTCTTGCGGCCTCCCCAGGGACCTAAGCAAACAATTTTCGCCTTTCTCTCTGCCCCCTTTCTTCCAGTTAACCAACCCAGCTGTATGCTAATGGTGGAGCAAACTATTGCTACTTAACTCTCCTGGACTGAGTAAAAGTTGGGGTGGGGGTGTGATGGACCCTGGTACATTGTTACAGCCCCTGTCCCCTCCCTCTTGCTTGCATAGCACCCCTTTCCCCTCTGGACAAAGCAGAGCCCTGGACAATAGCCCGCTTCCAGTTAGTTCACTTGTAATTCATCGTTCTAAGGATCCCTGCACTGCCCCGTTCTCCTTTGTCTGGGTTTTTTTCTCTGCCCCCATTGTCCCAAGTTGGGTTTTTTGCTGGGGCTTGGCAACTGACCAGGGACGCTTTTCTCCTTCTCTACGGGGCCTTTGTCCAGCTTCTGATTGAGATTTTTTTTTCTTCCCACAACCAAAGCCCCCCTTCCTTCCCGCCCCCACAAACTCTCCTCAAAGCATCTTCTCCCCCCACCCTCCACCGAGGAGGGGAGCCCCACCCAGGACAACCACCAGATGCTAGGAATTAGCTATGTAAATAAGGGAGTGTTGGCGAGGCAGGTGGCGCAGGTACCCAGTGGGGCAGGCAAAGGCCTTTGGCTGGGCTCCAAGCTGCTGGGGCTGTGGATGACTTAGTGAGTTACCTGGCCAGGGGTGGGAGGGAGCAGGCCGTGTGTCTGTGCGTGAGTGCACAGGTGTAGGCGGGCCGGCCAGGTTGGGCTCGTGCCGGAGATGAAGCAGCTGCCAGGCATGACCTTCGGTTGATCAGCAGATGGGTGAGGCTTAGATGGGTGTGGGGAGGTGGCTTTGAGGCCCTCTCTTCCCAGGGGAGGGAAGAAGGTAAACGCTGGCCCTCCTGCTGCCAGTTAGGAAACAGTCATCTCCGAAGGAAAGGGCAGAAAGTAGGAGTCTTTTATACAGACATAAAAAGTTTAGAGCCAAAATCCACTTATTTTCAAGGTAATTATTAGAAGTAAGAATATTCGGTTTCTCTGAACACTTTCAGGTTAGAAGTCCTAACTATTTCTGCTTCTGAATGCCCTTTGTGACAACCAGAAAATACTTTAACTATTCTAGTCCAAACACAGACTACAGCCCCAAGCTACTCCGTTTTTTATGGCAGGGGAAACTGAGTCAAGGCTAGATCTCACAGAACTTTTGACTCTTAACCTCAGGATTCTTTCAATTCAACCTTGCTGCCCCTATTTTAACAAATATTTATTTAGTACTCTCAATATTCTAAGTGGAGGAGAGGGGTAAGGATATCATGGTGGATAGAAGACCTGGGTTCTAAACCCCACTCAGACGAGGGTTTCCTCATCTATAAAATGTGGTCAATAACACCTATCTCTGGATTGTTGTGAGGATCAAGGGAGATAATTATGTAAAGCCTGGAAGGGGACAGGACCTGTGATTTCATTTCATTGCTACCACTTAGGGCTTTCAGGAATTGCCTAAAGAATTGACCTGTTAAATGACTTGCCTGGGGTCACATAGCCAGTATATCAGAGGTGGGATTTGAACCCAGATCTTTGAGACTCCATGATCTGCTCTCTATCCATTAAGTCAAGAGGCCTCAGCTCAAACCTAAAGCCTATCTAAATGTGAGCTTTTGTTATGACACACACTGTAGGTATGTTAAGTTGAATCGAATCCAGATAATGGAGGTCCAGTCCCTGTTCTCCAGCAGAGAAGCTTCTAGTCTAGTTAGGGAGATTACCAAGTGAGACATATATGTCAGTATTCTAGCTTTCAGAGAAGGGGGAGACTAAAGCTAGCTATGGTGGTCAAGAAAAACTGCCTGGAGGAGGTGGTAAGCTGAATCTTAAGAGATAGGTAGGGTTTAGATGGAGCAGCTTGGTGGTGCAGTGGATAGGACACCAAGTTCAGTTGGAAAGCTCCAAGATCAAATCCAGCATCAGACACTTAGTACCTATGTGATCCTGGACAAGTCACTTATCCCCTATTAGACTCAGTTCTTCATCTGTAAAATGAGGGCACGCTGGAGAAGGCAATGTCAAACAACTCCAGTATCTTTGCTAAGAACACCCCATGGACTTTCACGAGGTCACATAGAATCCTATGCACCTGAATAACAACAACAAGGGCTTAGACAAATGGGAGGCTTTAGTTCCTGTGTCCCTGAAGGAGTTTCCTCTAACTCTCCTAAGTCAGTGAAGAGCAAACTGTTCCTCTGATTTGGAGCACATTCATGCCTCAGAGCTCTTAAGAAGAAGAGCTGAAGGTCTGAGTGGGGCGTAGCCAAGGGCTCAGAGTAACAAACGGTAGCTGAAAACTCTACTACCTCTCACTCCCAAAACAGAGCTTTGGGAAGCAGGAATGGGGCTCATGGAGATGTTTTCTTCTTTCTTTCAGACTTTCATCTTCACAGATGGGGAGGATGAAGTGCTGAAACAACACACAGGTAAATCTCCCAGTCACTGAGCATTCGTTTTCCTTTTTGGGGAAGGGAATCTTGGCCCTTCCAGTTTCTCTCCATCTGAGGGCTCTTCTTTGGGGAAAGGGCCATCCTGTCCCATTCTCTGAAGGAAGAGTAGGGAAAGGGCTTTCCTGAGCCACTCAAGAGCTCAGGTTGAGGTTCTGCAGGCAAAGGAGGGAACCAGGATGGGGTGGGGATGTTTGGGGAGGGAGGGAAGATTCTGGCACTAATACACACAGAGGAGGAGGGAACCTGCCCTGGTCAGTCTAAAGTTCTTTCTGGTTTCCTCCCCTGCAAAGAAGAGAGATTCTCCCCTGGAGGGGGTGGGGGTGGCTGGGTAGATGGGAAGAGGTTTACTCGTTGAGTGTTTATTCAGCAGCCCACCCCTCCAGTCTGGGTCAGGTCTCCTCATTCTTCTCATGTAAATGATTCCCTTTCAGGCCTTGAATTAATTCCCTTTGAGAGGGCCCAGCAAGTAACAGGTGGCTAGTGCTGGGAAAATGCAGACTGAATAGGGGAGGGCCGGACTCTGGCTCCCACAGCCCTCCTGGAGTCTCCCAGCCCTCTTCTCTCCCCTTTCCCTGGGAACAGTCCTCCATAGCACCCTCTCTCCTGGGGCCTGGGGTCCCCTGGCTCTTCCTTCCCTCCTAATCTCCAACCAGTCTTTTGAGTCAAAGCACATCTACTTGAACAGGGCACGTGAGAAAGGGGATCTAGGTACAGTCTTCTACCTGTGACTTTCTCCAGTCTGTGATTGTCCCTGCTTCACACCACCCAGAACCACTTAGCTAACAGTTCAAATTCCACCACCTACACTTACTAACTTTGTAGCCCTGGACTAGTCACTTAACCTCCGTTGGCCTCAGTTTTCTCAAAGTAAAGTGGGAATTATAATAACACCTACCCCCCCTTGTGAGGATCAAATGAGGTAATGTTTGTAAAAATCACTTAAAACAATACTTAGCACATAGTAGGTACTTTTAAAATGTTTACTCCCTTCTACTGACTGTTTTTGTTATTGAGTCGTTTCAGTTGTGTCCCACTCTTCCTGACCCCTATTTGGGGTTTTCTTGGCAAAGATACTTGAATGGTTTGCCATTTCCTCCCATTTGCCCTATCTCGGTGAGGTATTGCTCTGAAATATATTAAATGTGCCTTACAGGCATCAGGAATCATTACTCACAGATGTCTTCTTTCTCCACAGGCAATGTCATCAATACCAACTGTTCTGCAGCCCACAGCCGCCAGGCCTTATCCTGCAAGATGGCTGTGGAATATGACAAGTTCATTGAGTCAGGAAGGAAGTAAGTGACATTTGAGAATTCCTTGTCACCTTATCCTCTCTTTCCCCCTCCCCCAAAAGTACCATCATCCCCATTTTATAGAAGAGAAAATTGAGGCCCAATGAGTAAAGCCATTCGTTCAGTATTCTAAAAATAAGAAAACCAGGACTGAGATCTAAGTCTCTTCTATCATATCCACTAACTTCAAGAGTAGTTTCCTATTAAAAATGTAGACTTTTTGTGACAAGAGCAACCAAAAACAAGATTGTGGATGATCTAGTTCAGTTCATCCCCACTACTAGATTACATTCCTAGGAATACCCCCTTCCTATGTCTGAGAGGTAAAGGATGTCTTCCCATATATTATATAGTCGGGAAAAGGGAGATTCTGGGGTTGCACTAAGGGCTGAGATGACAAATCTAAGGATATTTGGTTCCCTTCTTGGCCATCTCCCTGATCCCCAGCCTGCCCACCAGAATCTCTGTGACCATCCATCCTATATTTCCTTCAGGTGGTTCTGCCATGTGGATGATGACAATTATGTTAATGTTCCGACACTCATCAAGCTGCTGTCCAGCTACCCTCACACTCAAGATGTCTACATCGGCAAGCCCAGTTTGGACCGGCCCATCCAGGCCACAGAGAGGATCAGTGAGAACAAGATGGTAAGCCATCAGGGTCATGGAAGCCCAGCATCAAGATGGAGACTTAGGGGTGAAGCCGAGATCGTAGACTCAGAATCATAGAAGACCTTAAACCATTAGGTCATCTAGTCTGACCTCCTTTTACAGTTGATGAAATTGAGACTCAGGCCTAAAAGTTAAGTGATAAGTAGCAAATGTGGTGGCGTGCTCAAGGTCACATGGCCAAATCGTAGGTTAGAACCCAATTTTTGTTGCTGTTTGTTGTTTTAAATCATCCTAGGTCTGGTACATCCCTTTCTAGAACATATTAGGAGGACAAAGGATCACCATTGCCCCTAGCTTAGAAAGACCACTCTCAGGTATCTAACTGACACAGAAATGACATTGGTGTGTCTTCCTTATAGCGTCCTGTTCACTTCTGGTTTGCAACTGGTGGGGCTGGTTTCTGCATCAGCCGTGGTCTGGCCTTGAAGATGAGTCCCTGGGCAAGGTAAGAGGGTTCCATTCAATATCTGCAAATTTCATTTTTCTCCAGCACCCAGAATGAGTGGGGGGCTGGGACAGGGTCTTGCCCTTCTTCTTCAAGTGGCATCTTTGGATTCCATTTATTCTCTATCTCTGTCTCTAAACTCCTGTTACATACTTCTGAGCCATTCAACTTAGAAAGAGGTCCAAGAACAAAGCTGGGGAAATGCTATTTGCCTTTATTTTGTATACTTCAGTGGATTTGAGAAAGATGCTGATGAAACCCAATGCATACCCTTGAAGCTCTGTTTTGGTGGTAGTATTAATCATTTTAATGAACACATAAAGTATAAATTTATTTTTTATAAATTTCCAAAGTACATCTTAATGCTTTTTTCAGAAGCTATTTGGTATAGACTTGGAGCCAAAAGAAACTTGGGTTTCACATTTACTCCTGTGTGACCCTGAATGAGGTACTTAGTCTCTGTGCCTCAGTTTTCTTATCTATAAAATGGTGATAATAATGACTGCACTGCCTACTTCACAGGGTTCCTAAGAGGATCAAATGAGGCAACACATGGAAAACATTTTTCAGATCTTTGAAACGCCACGTAAACTAGAGTTATCTCCTATGATCTAGTTAGCTTTATAGAAATTGTCTTACAGTAGTCCTAACTCACCTATCCATAGTTCTTTACCTTGTTCTTTCTTTACTACAGTCCTATAAGGGGAGTTAATCTAAGTATTGTCTCCATTTTAAGTTTGGGGAAAATAAGGATCAGATTGACTAAGGGACTTGTCCAGGTCCTCATATTCTACAAGGTGGCAAGTCAGGATTCAAACCCAGGTCTCTTCACTCCAGAGTCCCAAGCCCTCTTTCTATTATACTGCCTCTGAGAAAACTTCAGGGCTATTATTATGAACTTATCCACTTCTCCTCACTTGAACTTTTCTGTTGGTTTTGAGTTCTGGATAAATTGGTGTTTGTGGTTATAATTTGTTAACCTTTTATTTGATAGGGTTTTCAAGGCCACACCCATAGAGGCTACTTAATTCTTCCATCCTCTATTCTTGCCTCTCCCTCGGTTGCCTCCCAGATAAACAATAGTGCCCTAGGATATGAATTCCAGAAGATCCAGTGAGACATAACATTTGTAAAGCACTATATAAATGTCAGCCGCTATTACCACTAATGTGGTGTGAATGATGTATCAGTTTACTGGGTTTTCTTTCCCCTGGGATGGGTAAAAGGAAAAGGCACGGATACACACACTCTCCAGCCAATTATATTCTTTCCCTCATTCTAAGAACAGTCAATTCCATTAGGCCAACTAGGATGGTTACATGCCTCTTCCTCTCTTCTCTCCTCTCTGGGGCTCCCTCACTCTCTGGGAATTCAGACTAGGGGAGAAACAAGGGAGGTGACCTTCCACATTCATCTCACCTCTTCTTCCCTCAGTGGGGGCCACTTCATGAACACAGCAGAGAAGATCCGACTGCCTGATGATTGTACCATTGGCTACATCATTGAATCTGTGTTGGGTGTGAGACTCATTCGAAGCAACCTATTCCATTCGCACCTGGAGAATCTTCAACAGGTGCCCAAGTCAGAGCTCCATAAACAGGTATTTGCTCCATAATTCTTAATTAAACCACTCCTGAAGGCCATGAGAGGGTCAGAAATCAACCCACAAATTATAGGCTAATAGATTTATATCTGGAAGGTGCTTTAGGACAGCTAATCGCACCAAGCCTCCCTCTCCCCTCCATTTTACAGATGGAGAACCTAGAGAGACCTAGAAAGGTTATGACTTTCCTGAAATCACAAAAGTAGGAAGTAGAACCATCAGGTACCCCAAGGGCCCAACAGCCTACCCCAGCCCCAGGCAAAGGGCTTAGTGTGTGGCTGGAACTGTGCTAAACTTTTGGATACAAATACAGGCAAAAAAGAAAGTCAGTTTTTGGCCTCAAGGAGCTTACATTCTAATCAGGGAAGGCATTAAAGAAAGGAGTAGAAAATTGGGGGCCAGGAGAGGTAGAGGTTCCCACACAGGAGGGTAGACCCAGATAGCCAAGGCCATGAATACAAAGTTTACATTTTTCCCATATTCTTCCTGAATCTCCCATAGCATTTGTCATAAGGCTGGGCACACAATGGGTGTATTTATAAATTAAAGAGATTTGCTTTGTAAACTAAAGAGATCATACCTAAGTGTGAACAACTATTTAATAATTAATAGAGTAGGAGCTGGACCTGTGATTTCATTGACGTAGGGAACTCCCAAGATGAGAAAACTGCCTTTGCCAACTCAGGTCTCTGCATTTTATAATCTTAGAGAATTACCTAGATTGCTGAGAAATTAAGTGACTTGGCTAGGGTCGCAACACCAGTATGTATGTGTCAGATGTAGGACTTGAACCCAAGATCCCCCTGGGTCTGAGGCCTGTGTTTTTAAAAAAACATTTTTTTTTTAGGCAATTGGGGTTAAATGACTTGCCCAGGGTCACATGGCTAGTAAATGTCAAGTGTCTGAGGTCAGATTTGAACTTGGGTCCTCCTGACTTCATGGCCAGTGCTCTATCCACTGCGCCACCTAACTGCCCCTGAGGCCTGCTTTTATCAACTATGCTACACTGCCCCAGTCACAATTTTGAATACTATGATAAAGAACAGAAATTTTAAAAGTGGAAAGGGTCTTAAAATTATCTAGTCTTGGAATCCATGGACTTGGTTTAGTTTTTTCTTATAGTTTGATAACTATATTTTAATATAATTAGCATACTTTATTGTCCTATGGATTTCATTTTATACATTTTAAAATGCTATTCGGAGAAGGGGTTCATAGGCTTCAAAGGAGCCCATGGTACCCAAAAAAAGACTAAAATTCTAGTCCAACCCGCTTTTACAATTACAATTTTACAATTATATGCTAGGCGCTTAGGATCCAAATACCAAAATTGTCTAGACAGTCACTGCCCTCAAGGAGTTTCCGTTCTACGGGCATGATCCTTAGCCCTGAAACTGCCGATCCAGCTATTGATCGTTCCTATTTCTGGTTATTAGGTGACACTGAGCTATGGAATGTTTGAAAACAAGAGGAATTCCATCCATATGAAAGGTGCATTCTCTGTGGAGGCTGATCCATCCAGGTGAGATGAAGGTCCCCAACCTGGGCCATGCCCCTGCCCACTCACTGGAGGCAGGAAAGGGTCTTCTGAGGTGCTGATACACAGATTTTGAGACCACACAATATACAGTCCTCCCAAAGTCATAGACACCCATCTGACAGCCATCACACCTGCCAGACACCCAAATGGGTCGAGCCTTTACCATACTTTTTGGGCTAGATGATGTCAGGCTCAAAATAAGGAAAAATTGCCCAAGATTTACTGTTGTCCCAAAGTGTAATGATCTGTCTAAGGAGAAATGTAGTGGCAAGTTCCTTATCACTGGAAGTCTTTAAGGTGTGGAGGTTGGATGGATGGCTACTTCTAGGGGACAGAGGAGATTATAGAGGGAATTCTTGCTTGACTTAGAAGTTGTCACCAGGTGGCCTCTGAGGTCCCATTCAACTTTCAGATTCTCAGCACCTCACTTTTACGTTTAAAAAATATATATTGACATTGTCTGCTGTTGGTTTTGAAAGCATCTGCTTCTGCTTCAGGGAGAGGGCACTAGAAGAGCATACATTCCTCAATTTAGGGAAGATTCCATGATGAGTTCGTGCTTTTAGGTTACATACACTAAGGGTTAGGCCACTGAAGGCATCTCCAAAGCTTTTGCCCCCAAAGACTTCCAAGCATAAATTTTTCATTATGAGACCTCTAATTTCTTCAGGATAAGTCCAGGGGATGTTTTGTTGTTGTTGATTGGAAAAGTACAATTTAATTAAATTTTTAAAAATGCTTATAGTCTGAGAGAGTTGCCTGGGGTACTGAGAGCTTGTCAGTCAGTCAACAAGCATTTATTAAGCACTTACTATGTACCAGGGCACTATATTAAGTAATAGAGATTTTCAAAGAAGGGCAAAAACAATCTCTATCTTCAAAGAGCTCACATTGGAATGGAAGAGACAACAGGTAAATAACTGTGTATACGAGTTAGGTAAAAAGTAGATGGAAGATAATCCCACAAGAAAGGCCCTCGTAAGAGAGCAGAAAAGACTGGGGAACACCATGTTGCTAGTATTATGTCAGAGGTGGCCTGGAACTCGGTCCTTTCTGACTCAGAAACCAGCTCTCACCCGTGAAGCCATACAGCCTTGCTACCTGGCTTCAAGTCCTGGGCCTGTGGTCTTACATTCTTTTTCATGGTGGGGAAACAGAAAGTGATATATAAGCAGCCCCCTTCTTGGTGTCTACATCATGATCAGGATCCATGTTCTCAAGACTGACCCTTGCTTTTCTCTCTCTTCTCATTCCACAGGTTCCGCTCTATCCACTGCTTGCTGTATCCGGACACTCCGTGGTGTCCTCGTAACGTGGTTTACTAGGAGACTTCACGTCTGTCCTTTAACCCTCGTCCCTGAGTTACCCTGGTATCCAAAGGGCTCATGGGACCTGTGTCGTGTTCTTGTCCTTGCTGTGCCCATCATGCACAGTATGTGGGTGTGTGTGTTTGTGTAATAGGCTGCTGTGTGGCCCATGGTTACTGAGCTGGGGTGGGGAAGGAGGCAGGGAGACAAGGGCTGTCTCTCTGGACCCTGCCTCCACCACTGTCTTCTCATCTTGGAGGAGGAGGAGACCCTAAAGCCTGGGAGAAAACAAAGAAGAATTAGGCAGAGAAGGTGTCACCGTTGCTGAACCTGATGTGCTTCCCAATGGCAGTGCTAGAAGTTGTCCCGAGATGGTCCTGGAGCTGTATTGCCTGTCTCCTGTATCAGCTGCTTTCTCTCCAACAGGACCGATTTTTCTCTGGCGCTGCTGTCTTTAAGTCACTGCTGGGTGACTTTCCTAACCCTTGACCCACCATTGCTACAACTATCTGAATCATCTCTTCTTTTGGTGTTATATTCCAGGCTCCAGATCCTATCCAGATGAAGGTTTTTGTTTGTAAGAGGTCAATTGGGGTGGGAGGGAGGAAGAGGGGAGAGCAGGGCGATTGAAAAGATTTCTAAACGTCTATCCTGATTTGAGAGGATGGGGTGCATTGCTAGGTGTTGCTGCAAGTGATGCGAGAAACAGATCCCTTTTACCTGAGATCCTTAATCTCCTGGGAAGTGGCATGTTCTGGAATAGAGGAGAGAAAAAGAAAGAGAAAGTGTGAGTGTGTGTGCATGTGCGCATGTGAGAGCTGTGGCTGCCTCTCAGGACCCCAAGTTTACTGAAGGGAGACAAGGCCTAGAGCGGGGGGGGGGGGGGGGGGGGGGGGGGGGGGGGGGGGGGGGG